AACACACTTGTGCCCTAGACTGATTCAGCAAATACCTTGTGCCACTTCCATATGTATTTTGAATGAATAGGTACGCTCGCTCCCCAGCCCAATGTCCTCGCTCCACACCAGATGGGCAGCTTCGCAGCCCACTGGTGGTCGCTGCGGGGGCTGTCTCGCTTCACGCTGAATGTTACTCAATGTTATTTTTTCAATAGACCGCACTCCATACCACGGCCTTACCCAAATGCACAACCCCATACCCAAACGCACAACCCCATACCCAAAATGCCCAGCCCCATACCCGACTCAACCCATGGGCAATGTGAAAATCAGGGACACATATCAGCATTACAGAAAAGGCCCCAATGTGACTAACAAAAACTTGTGCCCTCAACTTGTGCCATTTGGGCTTTCTCGATAACTCGTTCACAGCTAGGAATTATCATGTAGGGGAGACCTATGTGACCTTTGGATAGTTATCACAACCTGATGGCATGACTGGGCGAATCATGCACTACCTGTGCCATTGCTGTTTTCTCCCTCATTTCGGAGTATTATCAGGTTCTATTGATGGTCAAAAGGCTGAATCGATATCCACTCCGAGTCCATAGCTGCTCTCATTCCTGAGTTATGGAATAAACAACCTGTGCCCATGATCTTTTCTCGATAACTCAGTATCCAGGGCAGCTATGAACTCATGGTCTTTTTCATCCTGTAGAGGAAATCTATACGGCCTTTGGACACTCATCACAACCTGATAATATGCACAAATGGATGAGTAATGGCCCGTGGCACGATTGGGCACAAGTCAATCGTGCCCTACTCGTGCCATTGCCGTTTTCTCCCTCATTTCTGAGTATTATCAGGCACTATTGATGTTCCAAAGGCCGTATGGATATTCTCTACAAGATGCAAAAGACCCCAAGGTTATAGCTACTCTGGTTCCTGAGCTATTCAACAAACAGACTTGTGCCCTTGACTTGTGCCATGTTGGCACGACTTTCTTTTTGCAATAACTCAGTCACCAGAGCAGTTATGAACTTGCAGTCTTTTGCATCCGGTGGGGAGGTCCATACGGCCTTTGGACACTCATTACAGCCTGATAATACGAACCAATGGATGAGTAATGGCCCATGGCACGATTGGGCACAAGTCAATCGTGCCCTACTCGTGCCATCACCGTTTTCTCCCTCATTTCTGAGTATTATCAGGCACTATTAATGTTCCAAAGGCCGTATGAATATTCTCTACAAGATTCAAAAGACCCGGAGTCTGTAGCTACTCTGGTTCCTGAGCTATTCAACAAACAAACTCGTGCCCTTGACTTGTGCCATGTTGGCACAACTTTCTTTTTGCAATGACTCAGTCACCAGAGCAGTTATGAACTTGCAGTCTTTTACATCTTGTAGAGAATATCCATACGGCCTTTGGGCACTCATTACAGCCTGATAATACAAACCAATGGATGAGTAATGGCCCATGGCACGATTGGGCACAGGTTGATTGTGCCCTACTTGTGCCATCACCATTTTCTCCCCCATTTCTGAGTATTATCAGGGTATTTTGATGGTCCAAAGGCTGAATTGATATCCTTGATGGGGTGGAAAAAACCCCAAGTCCCTAGCTACTCTCCTTCCCAAGTTATTCAGTCAATATCAACTTGTGCCCTCAGCCTGTACCACATGACCAAGCCAAAGCAAACTTGATCACATGATCAAGTTCAAGCAAACTTGATCACATGATCAAGCTCAAGCTGGCTTGATCATATGATCAAGCCAAAGCAAACTTGATCACATGATCAAGCCAAAGCAAACTTGACCACATGATCAAGCTAAAGCAAACTTGATCACATGGTCCAGTCCAAGCTGCCTATTTCATCTCCTATATGTACTTGTGCCATTTGTGCCCCTGCTGAAAAGGCACAACTTTCCTTTCTCAATATCTCAAGAACCAGAGCAGCTATGAATTCCTGGTCTTTTGTGTCGTGTAGGGGAGATCCATATGGCCTTTGGACACTCGTTACAACCTGATAATACTGACAAATGAATGAGTGGTGGCCCAGGGCACAATTGGGCACAAGTCGATCGTGCCATTGATGATTTCTCTCTCGTTTCTCAGTATTATCAGGCGTTCTTGATGTTCCAAAGGCCGTATGGATATCCTCTATGCGATGCAAAAGACTCCGAGTTCATAGCTACTCTGGTTCCTGCGTTATTCAACAAACAAACTTGTGCCCTCGACTTGTGCCATGTTGGCCCTACTTCTTTTCTCAATAACTCAGTCACCAGAGCAACTATTGACCCAAAGTTTTTTACGTCCTGTAGGGAGTATCTATACGGCCTTTGGACAGTCATTAAAACCTGATAATACCAACAAATGGATGAATAATGGCCCATGGCACGATTGGGCACAAGTGGATCGTGCCCTACTTGTGCCATTGTCAATTTCTCCCCCATTTCTGAGTATTATCAGTCACTTTTGATGTTCCAAAGGCCGTATGGATATCCTCTACAAGATGCAAAAGACCCCGAGTCCACAGCTACTCTGGTTCCTGAGCTATTCAACAAACAGACTTGTGCCCTCGACTTGTGCCATGTTGGCACAACTTTCTTTTTGCAATAACTCAGTCACCAGAGCAACTATTCACTCAAAGTCTTTTAAGCCCTGTAGGGAGTATCTATACGGCCTTTGGACATCCGTCGCAACCTGATAATACCAACAAATGGATGAGTAATGGCCAATGGCACGATTGAGCACAAGTCAATCGTGCCCTACTTGTGCCATTGCTGTTTTCTCTCCCATTTCTCTGTATTATCAGGCCTTGTTGATGTTCCAAAGGCCGTATTCATAATCTCCACCGGATGCAAAAGACCCTGAGTCAATAGCTGCTCTCGTTCCCGAGTTATTCAATAAACACACTTGTGCCTTGTGCCCCATTTGCCCATTGTCCAACTTTGTTTCTCGAATAACTTCACAACAAGTAACCCGTTTCACTCAGAGTTTTTTTCATCGTGTAGAGAAGATCCATGCGGCCTTTGGACACCAATTTATATGTCATAATATTAAGAACTCAACAAGTACTGGCCAATGGCACGATAGGGCACAACTTGGCACACTATTTTCTTTCCTTGATAACTTGGTAACCAGGGCAGCTAATCACTCCGGGTTTGTTGCATCTTGTAGAGGGCATCTATACGGCCTTTAGACATTCATCAAAGCCTGATAATACCGACAAATGGATGAATAATGGTCCATGGCACGATTGGGCACAAGTCAATCGTGCCCTACTTGTGCCATTGCTGTTTTCTCCCCCATTTCTCCGTATTATCAGGCATCGTTGATGTTCCAAAGGCCGTATTCATAATCTCCACCGGATGCAAAAGACCCTGAGTCAATAGCTGCTCTAGTTCTCGAGCTATTCAATAAACACACTTGTGCCCTCCACTTGTGCCCATGGTCCCATGTTTGAACTTTATTTCGTGAATAACTTCACAACCAGTGACCCGTTTCACTCAGGGTTTTCTGCATCGTGTATAGATTTTCAATACCTACCTTTTGATATGCTATACACCCCAAATGAATCGATTCTCAACTTGAGCTCAAACACTAAAACTCAGGGCACAACTTTGTTTCCTCAATAACTCAGTAACCGTGGCAGCTATTCACTCGGGGTTTTTTGCATCTTGTAGAGAAGATCCATACGGCCTTTGGACACTCGTTTATATTTCATAATACTGAGAACTGGCCGAGTACTGGCCAATGGCACGATAGGGCACAACTAGGGCACGACTGGGCACGACAATGAATTGGCCATAACTCCTGAACCGTTTACCGGACTTCCATTCCCGTTTCACCGTTGGAAAGGTGTGATTTTTCTCTTTTTTATGATACCAAAAAATCGCCATGGCACAAGTATTATGATTCATAATACCTACTGTGATTAGATAGGATAAGAGACAACACCTCCATAAGATGGCAAAACAGGCTTAGTGATCCTGAAGATGGCTCTAGAGGAATTATGGTGCTTAAATCCTATTTTAACCCAGCATGGGAAGATTTCAATGTCCATGAGATGTGGGACAAAATCAGGAAAACCTGGGCAACACACTATGACAAGGTAACATGGTGTAACACCCCAGATTGTGCAAATGTTGGACATGGCTGGAAGTGGTTGACTCTGAGGAGAACAGAGCCTGACCTGCCAGACAAGATCCAAGGCAAGAGAGTTGTCTGGGCCCACTACCAAAAGGTAGATGGTACTGCTTCGTACTGGTCAATTGACTCAGAAGCGACCAAGAGGCTAAGGACAGATGAGTACAAGGCTAAGGTATGGGGTGACAGGCTGCCTCAGGAGGAGGATAAGTATGTCCCCAAGCCAAAGTCTGTTATCAGATGTACTGATCCTCCAAGTCCTTCTGTCAAAAGATTTCAGGACGTTAAAGGACCACTCTCCTGGGTCGTGGAGGAAGAGAAAGCTCCTGTCCTGGGTTGGAAGCGAAGGCTTCTTTTTGACTTGCACAAATCTGATTTCCTAGATTGTGATCTCCTAGTGAGTAGGAAAAGAGTCTCTAACTTAAGAGACCTTACCAACTCCTGGAGAAAAAGTGTCCTAGCATCACATTCAGAGGTACATAATGACCTACCTGAAGACATGGATACATGGGGATGCTAATCTGAAAGGGTTTGGGGTGGTATAAAGTTGTAGGCCTTGGGGGATCAAAACCCAAACAACCCACCCCACCCAACTAACCAAACCCCAACCACCCAATACAACCACCCAACTCAACCAAACAGTTGCTACTATATCGGGTTACAATATAAACATTTATATACATATATAAACTATATATTACTTCTATTTTCGGATTAGCCCTGGTGCATGCTTATTAAGCATTTCCAATGCTTATTTAAGCATGTTGGGATGTTTCTAACGAAACATCCCACTGTTTCTGTGCACAGACCTCCCCATAAAGTATATATACCTTAAGGGCAAAAAGCTGATGAGTCTCAGACGAAAGCACCTGTATCTCTTGTGGGATAAGGTCCTCCCTTTTGCTCTGTCCCTATCCTCATTAACTTCTCTAAAACACTCGATTTCTAAAACACGCGATTTGTCTTTTGCCACCCAACCCAACCCAACTCTAGATCATCCCCAATTAATTTGTAAGGGAATTCCAGCTCTGCATTGATACCAGTCATGAGCCACCCAAACAGTGACTTGGCCCGATCCATCACAGCACTGTAGGCCCTTGGAATATCGGCCAGATCCACACTCTTTCCCTTGACTGCAATGATCCTGTGCTTGTCATCCCACAGAGTTGAAGGAAGATGCCTCTCTTGATAGGCCACCTTGGTGCAGTACTGGTCCAATGAGTAGACCATGTCAAATGGACTGGATTCTCCCTGCCTCAGCCACTTGCGACAGAATCCCTTGCAGACCCTTCACAGAGACAGGTCAGTCATGGCACTCTAATCAAATCCAAGCACACTCACTCAAACTCTGCATCCTCCACATCCCCCTTCTCATCAGCCTGTCTCCTAATCTCCTTCACAGCAACCAGGCGCATAATGTGAAGGAACCCAGAGAGCTTCCCAGCAATCACAGAACAACGGTTAAAGTTGCCACCATCATCTGCATTCACGTTCATGAGAATGAGGGCCATGTGAAGGGGATCCTTGTCAGCATGCTTGCTTGCTGTGTGAGGCTTAGAAAAGAAGATCGCAACCAGAAGCGAGTGTATGGCACTGTCCCACATCTCCTCAGTGTATGCATCTGGATGATCAAGTGTAAGTTGAAGATTGGATGCCTTTTCCTTCTGCAAGGCAGTGAACTGGACTGGGATGGGGGGTTCATCAAGGGACAGGTGACGAAGGACAAAGCAGACTAGTTGGAAGCAAAACATGTGGTATTTGTGTAGTGTACTCTGATTCTGCACATGCCCAAATGGCCTGTGATTAGTGTCCCTGAACAACCATGATGGAATTAGATTGTGTCTTGGTAAATGATGGATCTTACCCTTCAGGTGTGTTTACCCATCTCAAAATCAAAAGGGCCATTCCTCCCAAAATGTCACCCCTGATTCTGCCAAAGTATCCCTCCATCCTCTCCTTGAGTGCCAATAATCCTGGGTTCCTCTGGCTTGGGGGCTCAACCAATTCACTGAGGTTCCTATAATGCCTTCCCTCTGTAACCCTGAGCCACCCATAGTCCCTTAGGAATCCATTGATATGGCGAGGATCCTTGGGGCCTGAATTGTTCCATCATCCCACCCTGACTTGTCATGCTGTTTCATGCAGTCCAGAGCTTGTGTGAACTCTATGCCAGAGTTTGTGGCATAGTTGGGATCTACTGGCCACACTTGATATCCTTTGCGTCCACGAAAAATCACTTGAACAAGACTCTCAACAATGCGTTTCTGGGCAGGTAGATTTGCATGCTCTGTCTGAGCATGATTGCGAGTGATTGAAGACAAGACATCAGATGCAGCCCCACAGCCAAGAACACTGCACATAAAACCTGGGATGATGGGGAGGAATGCAACTGGGAGGACTTTGGATTGGGGTACATCAATGTGTTTGGGTACATTGTAGTGGTCAAGGATGGCTTGCAAGCCAGAAGGGATGTGAGTGGCACCACTGTGTGTTTGGGTGATGTGGTTGGTCAATGATTGCCTTGGCACACCACACCTACAGGCTTTGCACACAATGATGCAATGTTCAGGATCGATCCCAATTTGAATTGGCTGAAGGGCCTCAGGTTCGATCAGCTTGCTGGTGGAGATAATGAGAGCCTCAGGAGCTGAAGACTCAACATCCATTTCATAGTCTCCACCATCATAATCATCATTGTCCACAAGCTGCATCTCAACCTCAGGGGTTGGGGCAGTAGTGGGTGCAGTGGTGGAGGGGCTTGGTGGGGTGACAAAGAGTTATGATGGTTTATGGTTGGCAACATAATAGTAGTGGTGGGGGGTGTTGACTTGGCCTTCAGGGAGCGGATGCAGGGATGGCGGCGAAAATTGTGGGGTTGATTGTTGGAATAGTCACATTCAGGACAATGAAACTTTCCATCATCTTGGCGATGCAACACAGTCTCCCTGATGGTCATCTCCATTTGATGTGTCTTGGCCACATGCAACTTCCTTGAAGTGTCATCTGGGAACACTTGGTTGCACTGACCACACTTGAGGGATTCCCTAAGATAAAGAAAAATCATGAAAAATCTGTTCAACTGGTACAGGTTGACCTACACCTGGTTAGCTCTCTTAACAAGCTTTGAAATAATCTTGGGCATGGCTGGAAAGGAGGTAAGCCACAACTTGCATGATCAGATATTGAGGACTCACTGATTTCAGGTGTCTGTGAAGCTATGGTGGCCCAGAGAGATGAAGAGTGATGAGAACAGCTGCCAAGGACCATGTACCATGTTACCCACAAGTTCTCAAGGTGCTGTTGCCAGGGATAAGCTTGCAGTGAGTGGAAGAAAGAAGCCAGATAGTAGAGTGGAAGAAAGAAGAACAGCTATGCAGTTGCTGACATAATCTAGCTGTGGAGCATGTGACCTATCGGAATTTTCCATTTATTTCTCACTACCCAACCCCCAGGGGATAGCTCTGTGGCTGTTCACTTCGGAATTTTCCATGATATTTTCCCATGCTACCTATCCCCCAGGGGATAGCTCTGTGGCTGTTCACTTCAGAATTTTCCATTATATTTTCCATACTCCTGTCACCTCTGACCATCCCCAAGAACCTCTGTCCCTCCCACACCAACTTCATGATTCCCAAATCCTGCATTTGCCTCCACACCCCCTGATGATCACCACCCTCAAATTCCAATATCACAGATACACCTCCCTAGTTATGGAACCCTGAAGCTTCTGGACAGCTCTGATGTCCACAAGCACACTCCCATCTCTGCTAGGCCATTCACCTTGGACTGCCCTCCCCATTCCCCCTTTGGGATGATGATCTCCAGCTTCCCCATAAACTGAGTCATGGGGTCACAAAGACAGGTGAACCCCTACTATCATCATACACTCTTGACTACTTGTGCAACATCTGTAAGTGTCATACAATCCCGACCTCCACTCCGGGCTCCCAGAACTCCAAAACCAACTCTGGAGCCCTACTTCCCTTCCATCACCTTCTCCTTGCCGACTCCCAAGAGGTTATCCCACCTTGGCTCTGACACCACCTTTGGTCCGACTCTGGAACATTCCAGGTCCGACCTCAACCTTGACACCTCCCAGACAAGCACGCAACACCTATGCTCCCAACTCCGGACCTCCGCTCCGGAATCCTGGTTGTGTCTCTGTCTCCGGAACCTCCGGTCTTAGCTCGGACCTTGGACTTTGACCCCACCTCCGCTTATACCCATTGGTTAGCTCCTTCCATTTAATTACGTTTGCCAATATTCTGGAGTTTAACTTCCGAGTTTGGACTTTCCAGACTTATGTTGGACCTTGCAACTATTGCATTGCTCCATTCAATTCCGCTATTCTCCCTCATTCCTATTTGGGCAGCTGCTTCCTTTCTATTCAGTCAGTCAGCCATTCCCCACTCCCATCCTCCTTCCTTCCTCCTTGGGCCTTGGCCCTTCACTCCTCCTTTGGGAAACACCATTGAGTCAAACCCTTGACCCTCAGTGTTGTTCCTCCTTCCAGCTCCCTTTGTCTGCTTTCGGAGTACCCTTGCTCCTTTTGATTCGGGACCCCTCCTTATATACAATGTACATAGTAACTTGTAACCTCAGTCCAAAATCGACCTGAAATGCCCCCAAGAGACTTCCCCTCTGCTAGATCCGAAATTAGGGACCCCAGGACAACCAGCAATGGCACAGCGCTCTGCCTGAGTCGCTGAGGCCGAGGTCCTTCCATGCTAAGTCTCCAATTCCACTCCAGAGTCATCTGAATCCACCCATTCTAACAGTAAGCCTCCTTGTTGTCATATCCATCCTCTGCCACCACCTCTGGCCATCTCCAACAACCTCAGTTCTGCTCACACCAACCTTGGAACCCCTGAATCCCGTCTTCACCTCTGAGCCCCCCAATGGTCACCACCCCTCCATATTACAGTTCTGACGTCCACAAGCACACTCCCACCTCATCTAGTTGCTGGCCCTGCAAGTCTGCCTTTGGACCACTGACTCCATAATCCCCTCTGACTCCCCCAATGGTCACCACCCCTTTATTACCTACACCCTAAGTACGGAATCCCAAAGGTCTCAGGACAGCTCCGATGTCTGCAAGCGCACCCGCGCTTCTGCTAGGCAACTTAGTTGCCTTCCCTGCAAGTCTACCTTTGGGCCAATCCCTCCTTTCCACTTCTGGGTTATAGCCTGTCACCCTGCTAAACCCCATAACCCAACTTGTTGGTAATATTCAGTCAGCTAACCTGTAACTCCGTTAGCTCCACTCTGCCAGCCCCTGCCATTTACAGGCCTGCTTTCTAGACTCCCCTTGTAACTATATATACATAACTTGTAGATATGTTACACCTCAGTGATAAAATCAACTAGAGTTTTCCCCCCTCTTCTAGAGTTCTCTCCAGTCTGTGAATTAGGGCACTGACATGTTACTAGGCACAGCACTCCTGGCACAAGTCGCTGAGGCTGAAGCCCTCCATTACAGGGACATCATCTTTCCTCCCAGATCTGGTCTCTGACACAACCCTTGACCCTGTTATGTCAGCTCTGCCTGGCCCCTGCCTAGACTCCCCATGTATCTATAAATGGAATTGGCTAACCAATACAATGGGTATATGTAAGTGGAGGTGGGGTCAAAGTCTGAGATCAGAGCTAAGACCAGAGGTTCCGGAGACAGAGACATGAACAGGATTCCAGAGTGGAGGTCTGGAGTTGGGAGCATAGATGTTGTGGGCTCGTCTGGAAGGTGTTGAGGTTGAGGTTGGACCTGGAATGGTCTGGAGTCAGACTGAAGGTGGTGTTGGAGCCGGAGGTGGGATAATCTCTTGGGAGTCAGCAAGGAGAAGGTGATGGAAGGGAAGTGGGGCTCTGGAGTCAGTTTCAGAGTTCTGGGAGCATGGAGTGGAGGTTGGGATTGTAGAGATATGACAATCCACTACTCACTTGTTGTGAGCTAGACAGCTGCCCTTATTCCTACTGTTGGAATTCCACACACTCACTCAAAATCTGACACATCCTAGCGCAGGGTGAACTTCTATTCAAAAATGTGCTATGTACAGGATATAAGGAATAATTATTTTAGAGGGCACCTTATTAGGCAAAATAATTGAAAAAGTATCAAAGATATTAGTTGACCTGGGAACCTTTGTGGGTGTGCACAGGCTAATTTCATGATTCTCACACCCACCACTTGGTCAAATCTCAACCATTTGGGACAAATATGGTATTGGCAGAAAGCTATGGACCAGGGGAATTGAATGGAGAGGTCGGGAAGGGATGCTACCAGATGGAGGAGATGGGTGAGGGTGCTGTGATGATGGACATTGGTGGAGGAGGGCAATTATTTGCAGATATGACCTGCTTATCTCTCTTATTTCCTTTTGATTGGACTTGTGCATTGGCTTGTTGGTGATACATAACTATCCACGCAGTTGCTCTCACTACAATATTTTGTTTTATATTTTGTTATCATGGATTTCCAATCTATATACTCCATGAATGTTGGTTTACCTTGCACTTAAAGTCATTGGACTGTTTGATGAATAACTTGATAACATGTAGATGTGTTTCTGTGAATTTTGGTGAACCTTGAGAACCAATCTCCCTCTTTCCAATGAACCCTTTAACTTGTCTGGGTGCATAGTGGTTGTCCTTCAAGCTCATCTGGAAACATCGGTTTTTGCATTGGTTTTCTGGGTACCTTTGTTTCATGGTACATTTCCTTGAGTTCTGGCCTTGCCTGAGTGTGTAAGCATGGGACAGTGCTTTCAGCACATCGAAAAACTAGCTCAAACCTTATGCCAATGACTAAATTCCTTTTTCATTATTCATTGTACATATTTGTTGGCAATTGTTCTAAAAATTCATATATTTTACATGAACCTTAGTCTTCCTCCATTTCATCACTCTCCTGAGTGGCAGGCACCAGCACTTGTGGGCTTCTTTGCCTCTCAACCATTGGGTAGGATGGAAGTGAGTCAAGGCTCATCTGCCTCAAGGGAATTGCAGATGGCACCACCCTCCCTGACTCACACTCCTCATCTGAACCCACTCTTGATGGCCCTCCTCTGAGTCATCTGGCTCCCTTCTCCTCCATCTCAGATTAATATGTGATTTGAGGACTTCATCAAGAAACTCCGTTTCTCCAGTGTATTCCCCAGAAACCCTGCAAGTTCTCCAACTGTTCAGGGCTCAGGCCAAATGTCTCGTTGGCATCTGGAGCCTTGAATGCAGCAAGCACTGCAAGAATCTTGTCATACTTGGGTCCTGATTGTCCACCAGACTCTTCATCAGACTCCCCTGACTCAACCTCCTCCTTGGACTTGACCACCTTGACCTTCTTCTTGGTTGTCATGGGCTGTTTCCCCTTGCCCTTCTTCACCTTGTTCGAGTAAGAACTTCCCTCACTTCCCTCTTCTTCAGTGTCAGTAAAGATTGGAGTAGATCTTCTTTTACGACGACGATGAGAAGGCTGTGGAGGTGCTGGGGCTGAAGCCAGTGGAAGTTGATGTTGGGGAGGTGGAAGGTACACCCCTGCAAAAGCCAGAGGTGGGGTGGGACCAGAAGCTGCAGCTGAAGGTCCAGGTGTAACAGCAGGTGGGGTTTCAGGTCTGGGGGCTTGACCTGGAGTGGCATGTGTTACTGGAGAGGGTGCTTTAGAATGGGATGATGGAGTGGAATGTTGAGGAGGTGGAGGAGATTTAGGCTGAGCAGTGGAAGGGCCTGGGGTGGGTTGGAGAGTGGAATGTGGAGGAGGTGGAGGTGGTGGAGTGGAATGTGAAGGAGGTGGAGTGGAATGGGGAGGTGGAGTGGAATGTAGAGGTGGTGGAGTGGAATGAGGTGGAGGTGGAGGTGGAGGTGGAGTGGACTGAGGTGGAGGTGGAGGTGGAGTGGAATGGGGAGGAGGTGGAGTTTTAGGCCAAGTGGTGGAAGGGCCTGCTGTGGGTTGGGGAGTGGAGTGTGGAGGGGGAGTTTTGGGTCGAGTGGTGGAAGGGCCTGGGGTGGGTTGGGAGTGGGTGTAATGGAGGAGTTGAGGGACCTGTGGGAGGGAATGTAGGTGGATACTGAGTGGAAGTGCCAGGCAAGGGGTGATGAGGCTTGGGCACAGATGAGCAACACACAACATTCAAAAAAAAAAAAATCCTACTTACGTGATTATACCCTTGGAACTCTGGCTGCACCAGCTGGATCAGTTTCCCTGATGGTGACTTGTCTTTGATCACCACTCCACTCAAGGGGAACGTGTATGTGGCACTGGGTGTGGAGGGAACAAAGGGAGCAATAAGGCCATACCATTGACTGTTTGTCTCCAGCATGAACGTTATTCGATCCTTGCAAGTTCTGTCTGCTCCTAAAGAGTTATGTTCATCCACCCGGACAAGGTCAGATGCATTGTGAAGCAGATACTGAACAACCTAATGCAGCATATGTCAGTGGGGCTGCAAAATGACACACAACTCACTTACCCAGTCCCATTGATTCCCATTCTCTCAGGGAGCTCAGGAACTTTGTCATCCCAAGTTACGTTGCTCACCAGGTGGGGGATCAGAGTGTCAAAGAAGGCAGCAATGTTGGGAAGGAAGAACGCATCAAAGTGAGCTTCATCATGCTTGCCCCCCTTCATGGTGATATTGAACAACTCGTTGGGCCCCCACACACATGCAATAAACTGAGCCAGGTCAGTTTTCCATTAATAGATAAATATGACAAGACAAGTTGCTTACAGTCTCCATGCAATACTTGGCATTTCCAAACTGGGTCACCAGTGGACCAGACTTTGTGAGCAGATGTTCAGGGTGGTAGAACTGAGGTGGAATGCATATTTGTTGGGATTTTATGCAAGTGAAAAATGTTGCTTACCATCCCAGGCTCAAACGTCCACTCCTCTTCTCCCTTGGGTTGAAGTAAGTTCCCAGGGAATTCACCAGGAACCTTCTGGACCCTCTCAAACTGGCTCCAACTCCACTTCATCAGATTTTTGCCCCTTTTGGGATGTTGAAGGTCCTCTTTGATGTTTGAGAATGTGAGCTGGGAGAGACGTGAGGATGGGGGAAGGTGGTCATGGTCGATGTTGTTGAACGTTTGGTTGTCATCCTCAGGTCCAAGGATGTGACCATCAGAGCAAAGTATGGCTAGGTGCCAGAGACAAATCTCAAAGGCAGCTGCCCAGAACTAAGTGACTGAGTGAGCAAGAAGAGTAGGAGAAAAGGGGGAAATGTTCAACTTACATTTTGCATCCCCCCCCCCATATGCCTTACAAATGACGACTTTGTGTATTGGATGAACCATTTGACCTTTCTCATGAGAGTCATAACCCTCAGCATCTCCATTGAACGAAGGACAGGCCTCAAAGGCTCCAGTGAATTGTTGCTCCCAAGCATCCCTGCCCACCATGCTCTCCTCTGTAGGCCAGTCGGGACTCGGTCGCTGTTGACAAAGGTTCCATAGGCATTGACATAATCAAGCAACAGATTTGGAGCCTTTTCCACAGGGGCATTATCTTGAAGTACCCAGGTGAAAAACATGGAATCGGTCATTAAGGCTTCGGTGGTGGGGAAAATAATTATTGTGTGGAGGCCAGGATGAAAGATGCACAACTTACAATTTCGGTAGACATCCATTGTCCAAAATGCATCTTTATGCTGATGCACTTCTTCGAGTTGGAACTCGTGGGGTTCAGGATCCTCATCTCCACTCTCTGCCATTGTTTCCTTGGTCAAAGCCAACTGGATGGCATTCTCAAGGACTCGCTTCCTATGCTGACCATGGCACAGGTAGACCTTGAGGTGTGATGGCAAGAATTCTGAAGCCCCCAGCCTCACACTGCCTGGCTCTGATGTGAGAATGCCAGCCATAGGGTGTCTGTCACGGGTGATGTTCATTCCCCATGCTGCGAAATACTTTTTAACAAACTCCGGTTGGACCTCCCGGTTGCCAGGGAGCTGCTCCATCTGAGACAACCTGACCTGCATTGCCATGGGCATCAGCAAAAATAAAATGAAAAAAATAAAATAATATACCTTGACCTTACCCAACCAAGAGTCATCCTTCTTCGTGTTGAAAGTTTGTTCTTGGGCCAGGGCTACCTCAGGGAGGGCTGCACTGCTGATGTATTTTTGGGAGTCAATTTGGTATTCAGGGGACATTTCCATTTCCTACAGATTATGTAAGTAAGGACTTGGGGGAAAATATATATAAAAAGTTGCCTCAACAAATCTGGGTTTGACTCAGTGCCAACACCTCTCCCAACATGATAGATTGCATTTGTATGTCCTACAGACATGAAACAATCAAGCTGGACCCAGATCCACTATGATCTGGGTCAGGTTTTGGCAAAACATGTGTTTTCACACAAATTGCACAAAATCCAAGCTCAGAACCCATGTTGTGGAGAGATTTGGAAGATCTAGAGAGGCAGCAACATGAACAATGCATCTTACCATTTTCAAGGGATTTTGCGCAAAATTGCAGGTGTGGTGGACAGATCAGTTGTGTTGTGGTGATAGCAAGCAAGTGCGAAAGTAAGATCATGTGACCTATCCGCAGTGGGATAGCCCTTTCGGAAATTTCCATTTAAATTCTCACGCTACGGAATTTCCCACCTACCCAATCCCCCAGGGGATTGCTCTGTGGCTGTGTGTCCAGTGTGTCTGTGCACCATCACCCTCACTGTCTTGAATGCCGTCACCACTGATTCCCACGGTCTCAACACACTTTACATATATGGATAGTCCTTGAAAATAGTTTCCCAAATGTATAATTATTTCCACAATTGACCAATAAATCATTGAGAAAAATGCAAAATACTTTCCCAGACGCGACGAATATGCATCAAGTAGCAAAAATCAAAGGCTCCAAAAAAATCCAAAAAAATCACATTAATATTTCTTGATGACTGTAGACCTATTTTGGTGCAAACAGCTTCTTTATGGGTCTGCTAGATCCAAAGATATTCTCCATTCTTTAACTTTTGTACCCCTTGTACCCCCTTGTAGCCCAAGAAATTAAAGGGCCCATAAAATCCCAAAAAATGATATTAGGATTCTTTGATAATAGTAGACCTATTTTGGTCTAAAGGAATTATTGTAGTTATTTTAGATCTCAAGATAATTGACATTTGCTTAAGATGCATCCTCCAAAGGTTGTTTCTTGAATAGTCCTCTAACCTGGGCAGCTATGCACTTGGTTTCCTTTGCATTTGGCAGGTCTCAGCAATGTTAATGATATTTGTGTATTTGTTTCAGCATTGTGAAGTAAATTGTTGAGTAAGGTGATGGGGTACAAGGGGGTACAACAGGGTACATTGCAAAGATTCCCCTATAACTTGGCAATGGCTGCACTAAATTTCATATGGTTTGTACGATTGGAAAACTATGATTTTACTCCATTTCTGTAGGCTAAAATGTTTGTAGAATTCATTAGTTGGGTAATTGGGTATTGCCTTGCTGTACCCCCAAAAGCCCAAGTGTCCACAAAAATCTGGATAATTCATATTAGTGTTTATTGATTAAGATAGACCTACTTTGGTCTAAGATACATGTCAATAGAGTCCCTGGCTCCTGAGATATTTTACATTCTTTCAAGTTGTACCCCCTAACAATTGTTTTGTGAATAACTCAGCAATGACAACAGCTATTCATTTGGTTTCTTTCGCATTTGGTAGGCCCTAGTAGCCCCTAAAACATATCTTATTTACCGGTGGTGTTTTAAAGTAAACTGCTGAGAAAAAGTGCGGGGTACATCGGGGTACAAGGGGGTACATGCAAACATTGATGAATAACTCGGCAACCACTGAGCAGAATTCTAAATTATTAGTACCGTTGGAAAGCCACGATTATAGGCTATATTTGGGTGCCCAAACATCCACGGGGTACATCAGTAATAGGCTATGCCTGGTATTGAAAATAGATTGGGAAATTATTGTCGTAGTTCTGTGCTCGCATGGAAGTACAACTGCTTTTCTAAAAATTCACCACAGAGAAGTTGTTGTCATTCCATGCGCGAATGGAACTACGATAATAACCCACTTTTTCAATCATGCATGAATTTCCATTGCCGAGTACTGACCCACCCCTTCACTTTCACTCACAGCGTATGAAAGCCACCTGCTTCATTGAGCATATCCGCCTTGGTCTTCACACCACCGAACATCTCCCCACCTCCCTCCCAAGGGAGGAGAAAATCCTTCAGTCACTAGCCAGTTATGTGGTTGAAATGCTTGAGACAGATGCCCTCTATGAAATTGAGAAGGGAATCAAGAAATCCCTGAATGCAAGCTATGCAACTGCAGACCGAGATGACCGACGTCGCCTCAATATCCAAGCTGATGCACTCAAGGAACTCTTGTCCAGGGCACACCCCTTTGACAATTCTAAAGTGGCCACAGAGTGCCAGATTCTCACACTTGCTACCTCCTCTCAAGCCATACACTCAATTTTGAAGAACCTGCCCCGCATTGATGTCTATGAATGGGTCCGTGGCTTGTATGCAATGGTCACACCGCCTGACCTTGTTCAAAAATCATCATCAACAAGGAAGGGCCTTGGAGCACCCTTCTTTCGACAAGGGTCTGCTGCGGAAGTCTGCACTCAAGTCTTCCAGGCATTGCGAGACCTTTGCCCACACACATCATCCTCACAAGGGCAACAGGAGTTCTGCATTGAGGCTGTTGTCTTTCAGATGGATTCAAGACGGATGTATCGATATCCACATTCCACCATGTTTCCCACAGGGAGGTCGAGTCAATGGGCACAGTATGATTCATGGGTGGACTTGATATACCCCAGCAGGAATGCAAGACGACCTGATCTGGGAACCATGTCTGATCCAGATCGCCTTGCAGCCTCCATTGCCAGCACCCAGATTACAGAGGGAAACCCACAGGCATCATGGAACTGGATTGATGCAAGGCTTGGTGACCTTACATGGGTCATCAAACGTTCTCGACTTCCACTTGACTGGATCCAGCAAGACATCTTGAAGGACCCAATGTCTCAGGAGCTCACGAATTGGGTCACCGAGAGCTATGATATGTCGGATGCAAGATTCCACATCAGCCTCATTGCTGCGTTCATCCTCACTGCATGGGCTCCCTTCCATCGGGTCAAACACAATGAAGAGAAGATTCCAGCGGAACAGGCAAAGGGTGCAAACATGGTTGAATATGCCAACAGCCTTGTATGGGATCGTGAATATGGGAAGACTCAATCAGGGTGGAAAGCAAAGCCACCACTCTTCCACCTCTGGTTGATATACATTTGCGGTATTTTGGTGGAGGACAGTCCTTGGTGGCGGAGACACGAACAGAAGGCCCGAACTCAGTCCATCAAACTGGCCTCCCGTACTGCTGAGCAAGGAAAAAATGCAGAGGTGATGACCATGTTCAACACCAAGCTCCGTGAGTGCTTCCTGAAGCTATCTGTATCACAATTATGATGATAATATTATTATTATAGAGAGGAAAGGGGTCACCATTGCTGTCCTTGCCCGACTCCACCTGGTAGAGGCCTGCAAACCTAATGCATTCAAGCCTGGAAGTCGCTATCAGATGGACTGGAGGCGCCATCCGAAGGAGGTATTGGAGTCTAGGCTTGCGACCATTTCCAAGCACCTAGCCCAACCTCCACACATGTGCCCTGTGTTCTGTGCAGTGCGATATTTCTTGGGTGATGAGTGCCGTTCCCTTCACATTGTGGAGTCTTTCCGAGTACCACCCATGAAGGAGCGAGTGCCCTCCACTTCTTTGGCACACAAAGCTTCAGAGGCATCCCTCCGTGCTGATTCTGAGTCATCAGAAGATGAAGCAGAGAATCCTGGGCTGAGTGCGCGTCCTAGGAAACGTTGCCGGGTTCTGTAATATCGTCTTTTCATGCGCGCTTGGGAATACAACGTCCCTTAAATATACCAACACCATGATATAACATTGTATATTGACCCATCATCAAATCTTGCAGAAAATTATCATGTCGTCTTTTCACGCGCGCTTGGGAATACAACATCCCTCAAACATACCAACACCATTATATAACAATTGTATATTGACCCATCATCAAATTTGGCAGAAAATTATCATGTCGTCTTTTCATGTGCGCTCAATAATACAACAACCCTCAAGTATATCAACACCATTACATATAACTCATTGTACATTGACCCATGATCAAATCTTGCATGCAATTATTATCATGTTGTCTTTTGATGTGTGATTGAGATACCATGTCACTCAAATGATTGCAAATCAAACATGGTGAAATCCAATGATACATGTTGTTTGGTTTGGCTTCTGTCGTTTCAATAGTTCAAAGTTGTGTACGATAGGGGGGATTTTGAGAGGGCCCCGAGGGTCCCCCCCAACCCGAACCAGTGGGTGTTTTTAACCTATAATATATACACTTGGCTATGCGGGGCATGAGATGAGAAGAAGGGTAAAGGTCTCATCTCCCCGCATGGTTGCTATATAAAGGAATGGGTCACATGCCCACAACTATACAGCTCCTAGAGTTGTGTAGTGTGACCCGGAGGGAACATCCAGGTGGCAGTGCCCAGTAAGCGTGGGAACGTTCTGGGCGAGTTGCTCGCCCAGAACTGTGGCTGTGACCCGTGGGAACATTCTGGGTGAGCTGCTCGCTCAGAAAGTTCCCACGCTATCCCGTGCGCGCGTGTGTACACAACACAGAAAGGCAACAACAAGGCAACAATGAAGGAATGGAAGGAAGGGATTGGTTGGGGAGTCTGGGGCACCCTAGGGCAGGGTGCTGAACCCTGACACTTACCCACTTATCCACTTCTTCTTCCCCACCACCTTCTTAACTTTTTTTACTTCCTTGTCTACTTGTCCCCTTGTCCCCTTGTCCCCTTCTCCTGTCCCTCACCAAGTTCCACAGTTCCACAGTTCCAAACCTTTTTTTGCTTCTTCCCGAGTCCAGCTCTTGTCTTCTTGTCTTCTTCCCTTGTTGCCTTGTTTGCCTTGTCCTCTTGTCCCATTCTCCCATTCTCACCTTCTCAACTTCATGTTGGAAGTTACAGCCCGATGCCACTGGCGGTCCCAGGACCGTACATTTGTGCTTTGAGAGCTTTGGGAAGGAGGCGCTTTTGGGGCAATCGACGGTGAACATAATGTCGCTTTGGCCCTTTGTTTTCACGCTTTGGCTACCGCTCGCGTTTTGGCATAGAACTGACATTAAGTGTATATAAGCTTGCACTGAGAGCTGATACATCACAATAGACGTATCGTGTTTCTCAGTTTTACACTTCAAACTCAAGTCCCCACTTTTTTTACTTCACAGTTCTGCATTTTTGCCACCAGCCTTGTCTATTGTATCTCAGCAGATACCTCAGTCTGAGTTGACTTTAGTGTTATTACACAAGTAAGAACAGTAAAGAGCAACTCATCAGTCACATGACACTAAGTAGAAGTGCAGATTGAATAGAAATGAAGAGAAATAACCACAACATTGTCTTGTTGTCTTGTTGTCTTGTCCCATTCTCACCTTGTCACCTTGTCCTCTTCTTGCCTTGTCTAGTTGTCTAGTTCACCTTCTTAGCTTCTCAACTGAGACTTCAAACTTCAGTTCTCACTTTTTTTACTTCCTTAGTTTCCCATTTTTTGCTTCTTCCCTTGTCCTCTTCTTGCCTTGTCACCTCCTGTTCTTGCCTTGTCTAGTTGTCGCCTTGTCATGTAGTTGCCTTGTTGCATTGTCTAGTTGTCTAGTTGACCTTCTTAGATTCTCAACTGAGACTTCAAACTTCAGTTCTCACTTTTTTTTAGTTCCTTAGTTTTCCATTTTTGCTTCTTCCCTTGTCTAGTTGTCTAGTTGTCTTCTCAAGTCCTTCTCCACTTCAGTTCTAACCTCTTCTCCTGACTTTCTCACCTTCCACTTTCTTTCTATCAAAAAATTTATCTTGTGGCTGTGCAAAAACTGCACAGCCACTTCTCTCTTTTGGCTTTTATAATTTTCACTAAAATCACACCTTCCTAACCCTATCAACCATTTCAATTTTCATCCATCCAGTCAAAACCTATTCCACTTTTAATTGAATTTGCACCCTCACTGCACCCCTTGAAATTCATTTGCCAGAAAAAATATTTAAAAATTCCATTCCATTCTCTCTGCTAAATATATCACTCTGAAAAAGGCCCCATATTTATATCTATTTTCTTCACTAAGATATTTCACTTTTAATTTCACTTGCACCCTCACTTGCACCCTCTGCACCTGAGTGCACCCTCAAAAAAAAACTTCCCCAAAAAATTACAAATAAATTATCTCCCCATTCTATCTCCTCACCATCCAGAACACCCCGCATTTTCCCTATTTTCTTCATCCACTTATCAATTTATTAAGGGCACAACTTGGCACACTATTTTCTTTCCTTGATAACTTGGTAACCAGAGCAGCTAATCACTCTGGGTTTGTTGCATCTTGTAGAGGACATCTATACGGCCTTTGGACATTCATCAAAGCCTGATAATACCAACAAATGGATGAATAATGGTCCATGGCACGATTGGGCACAAGTCAATCGTGCCCTACTTGTGCCATTGCTGTTTTCTCCCCCATTTATGAGTATTATCAGGCGCCGTTGATGTTCCAAAGGCCGTATTGATAATCTCCACCGGATGCAAAAGACCCTGAGTCAGTAGCTCCTCTCGTTCCCAAGTTATTCGATAAACACACTTGTGCCTTGTGCCCCTCTCCCATGTTTGCCCATTGTCCAACTTTGTTTCCTGAATAACGTCACGACAAGCGACCCACCTCACTCGGGGTTTTTTTCATCTTGTAGAGGAAATCCATATGGCCTTTGAACATTGATTTATTAAGAACTGGACAAGTACTGGCCAATGGCACGATAGGGCATGACTTGGCATGCTATTTTCTTTCCTCAATAACTGGGTGACCATGGTAGCTATTCACTCAGGGCTTGTTGCATCTTGTAGAGGGGATCTATACGGCCTTTGGATACTCATTACAACCTGATGATACCAACAAATGGATGAGTGATGGCCCATGGCACAATTGGGTACAAGTCGATCGTGCCCTACTTGTGCCATCACTGGTTTCTCCCCCATTTGTGAGTATTAACTGTTGATGGTCCAAAGGCCATATGGATATCCTATATTAGATGCAAAAGATTTCAAGTCCATAGCTACTCTGGTTCCTGAGATATTCAACAAATAAACTTGTGCCCTCAACTCGTGCCATGTTGGCACAATAGTCTATTTGCAATAACTCAGTCACCAGAGCAGCTATGAACTCATGGTCTTTTCCATCATGTAGGGGACATCCATACGGCCTTTGGACATCCATCACAACCTGATAATACCAACAAATGAATGAGTAATGGCCCATGGCACGATTGGGCACAAGTCGATTGTGCCCTACTCGTGCCATTGCTGTTTTCTCCCTCATTTCTGAGTATTATCAGGCACTATTGATGTTCCAAAGGCCGTATTGATAATTCCCACCGGATGCAAAAGACCCCGAGTCGATAGCTGCTCTCGTTCCCAAGTTATTCGATAAATACACTTGTGCCCTCCACTTGTGCCCCTGTCCCATGTTTGCCCATTGTCCAACTTTGTTTCCTGAATAACTTCATAAGGGATCTGTTTTGCTCAAAGTTCTTTTCATCTTGTAGACAAGATCCATATGGCCTTTGGACATTAATAACTGGACAAGTAGCCAATGGCACAATAGGGCACGACTGGGCACACTATTCTCAATAACTTGGTAACCATGGCAGCTAGTCACTCAGATTCATCTGGAAGAGATTATCAGGCGCTGTTGATGTTCCCATATGGATGTCCCCTATGGGATGAAAAAGACCCCAAGTCCATAGCTACATTTCTTCCCAAGTGACTCGATAAACACACTTGTGCCCTAGACTGATTCAGCAAATACCTTGTGCCACTTCCATATGTATTTTGAATGAATAGGTACGCTCGCTCCCCAGCCCAATGTCCTCGCTCCACACCAGATGGGCAGCTTCGCAGCCCACTGGTGGTCGCTGCGGGGGCTGTCTCGCTTCACGCTAAATGTTACTCAATGTTATTTTTTCAATAGACCGCACTCCATACCACGGCCTTACCCAAATGCACAACCCCATACCCAAAATGCCCAGCCCCATACCCGACTCAACCCATGGGCAATGTGAAAATCAGGGACACATACATATCAGCATTACAGAAAAGGCCCCAATGTGACTAACAAAAACTTGTGCCCTCAACTTGTGCCATTTGGGCTTTCTCGATAACTCATTCACAGCTAGGAATTATCATGTAGGGGAGACCTATGTGACCTTTGGATAGTTATCACAACCTGATGGCATGACTGGGCGAATCATGCACTACCTGTGCCATTGCTGTTTTCTCCCTCATTTCGGAGTATTATCAGGTTCTATTGATGGTCAAAAGGCTGAATTGATATCCACTCCAAGTCCATAGCTGCTCTCATTCCTGAGTTATGGAATAAACAACCTGTGCCCATGATCTTTTCTGGATAACTCAGTATCCAGGGCAGCTATGAACTCATGGTCTTTTTCATCCTGTAGAGGAAATCTATACGGCCTTTGGACACTCATCACAACCTGATAATATGCACAAATGGATGAGTAATGGCCCGTGGCACGATTGGGCACAAGTCAATCGTGCCCCACTCGTGCCATTGCTGTTTTCTCCCTCATTTCTGAGTATTATCAGGCACTATTGATGTTCCAAAGGCCGTATGGATATTCTCTACAAGATGCAAAAGACCCCAAGGTTATAGCTACTCTGGTTCCTGAGCTATTCAACAAACAGACTTGTGCCCTTGACTTGTGCCATGTTGGCACGACTTTCTTTTTGCAATAACTCAGTCACCA